TGCAACTCTAGATATCTAGAGCTTAACCGTCTATAACAACTCAACCAGTGATGAAGCATAGTATCTTATAGTCATTTATATTAGGTATATATATTTATATTTTTAAACCGGCAGACAGTGGTGACTGAGTTTGTTGCGGCGCTTCTTCTCAGCACCTGCCAAATGTTTGTCTCGAAGCACTGGTAGGGCAAAAAAAGAATGAGACATGTATAGGCTCCTTAAGAGCATTTGACGATTTGCAAGTACTAATTTAATTAGTCTAAACAAATAAAGAAAAAAAATTTGATTTTGATTTTTGATTTCAGCCCCCTCTGCAGGAGCATGATTCTCTAATGAGGGAATATTGTTTGCCTTCATTAGTTGGCGCCAGTTAAGAGCAAATTCTTGTCACTCATCAAACGAAACCCATATGCGATGACAAAACGATAGCCTTAATTCCCCATCTGGCCAGTAACCCTTAGTCGCCTTTTTACGAAACCCACATTATGATACATAGTTGGCGCTACTGTAGAGTAAGGTCCTGTCACTCGCTAGTGGCTATCATCAACTACACCCGCATCCATGTGCTTTCAACAACCTTCACAAGATCTTCGATTCATGGAGAAGCCTGTTTACATTACGTCTGGTTCATGTGTCTATATCGATATAAATTAATTAATAAATAAGTTCCGACATACCACAGGGTAGTGATCATCCAAGCCAGCCTCCGAGTAGACATCAGCAGCTGTCCTTCTCAACTCCAGGCCTTGTCCCCAGCGGTAGCCCGCCGGGTCGTCAGCGGAGCCCCTCCGGGCGCCCACCCATACTGACTCTATAGCTGACCATGAGAAAACCATGAATATTAAATTCTTTAATAAATTACCACAAACTGTTGTAGAAGAACTACCCATTCATAAATTCAAAGCACATATTAAAAGTACCTTAATTAAAAAGGGCTACTATAAAGTCGATGATTATTTAAAAGATAAAAATGTTTGGGATACGGTACTGCCTAGCTCGCATAAATATTTATAACTTTGTACATTTTAAAGCATGTAAACCTTTGAAAAAGAGGCTGACAATAGTGACTGAGTTTCTTGCGCTGCTTCTTCTCAGCACTGGCCCATTTATTGTCCTGAAGCAGTGGTAGGGTTAATACTGGGACGTGTAAAAGTGCTTTTTTAAGCCTATTTACAGAAATAAATGAGTTTTAATGATTTTTTTTAATGTCTTGCGCTGCTTCTTCTCAGCACAGGACCACATTGTCCCGGAGCGAGACCAATATTATGGTAAGTGTTGAGAATATAAGACTTTAATCATTTCCGTTCCATTTCAACTAAAATAGAGAGACAGCAGAGAGCCTGTCTGCTTGTGACCATGCTTGCAGAATAGCAGCCGAAACGTCAAGCCGGGAGTAGTACATAATGTAACTCATTTTAAATGTCGCGTTGTGATTGAGACCCGACGTGTCTCTCTATTTTAAGTGTTGAGAAGATGTCGGAATAAACTCAGTTGTTTATACATTGTTGTTTAAACTATAGTTACCAATGTAAGGTTAGGTTTTATTTTTACATTGCATGGTAGTGCTCTCTTCATGCTTATTTTCACCATCAATCCCTAATTTTTAAGTGACCCCAATGGTAACACATAACAGGCATTTTATGTTCATAGGGGTCACTTAAAAATTAGGGATTGATGGTGAAAACGGGCATCAGTCTATCATACTTACAAAGCTGGGACTCAGAGAGAGCTTCAGCCAAGAATTCAGCTTTTTCCTTTGTGTCTAATACTGCAAGGGACCCATTGTGGTGACCTCTGAAAAAAGTTTGTTGTCTGACATTAGTGACTACAACCCAATCAAGTAAACTGCGCACCAGGCAGCCGTGACGTCACATCGCCGCTCTGGTACGGACGGGCGAGCGCGGGGAGGTGTGCGGGTGAGTGCGAGGGAGAGTCGCATTCAGCGAGATGCGCAGTTAGCTCGACTGGGTTCTATAGTCCAGCGGCAGCGGGATTCGAACCAGCGTTCCTTGGATTTCGAGTCCGCCAGTCCGACACCTTCACCGTTGGGGTATTTTTTTATCCACAACGAGGAAGCTCTTGGCCTGTATCTCACCTGATGGTAAGTGATGATCAGGCCGAAGGTGGAAGCGAGCTTCACCCGGAATCCTCAACCACGGAGGAACTGGCTATCTTAGCTCTAACTGCCGGAACATAACAATGCTGTTAACATTGTTGTTATGGCGACAGACGGTAAGATGGTGGTAGTCAGGCGGACTTAGAACAAGCCCTACCACCAACCAAACCCAACAGAAAAATCTGCCCACACTGGGAATCGAACCCGGGACCTCTGCGTATGAAGCAGGTGGTCTTACCACTAGACATTGGAGCCGGTTATTGTCGCCTTTGTTTAAAAAAATCTTATAGAATTTTGTAGTTAAAACTTAAAACTTACCGACAGAGGATTTTGGCGTTTTCCCAATTTACAGGCAAATTCTGAACCACATATTCTATGTCATTAAATACGTACGACTCCCACTTGTCCGTGCATGTTTTGGGCACTAAAAAAATTAAAATACAAATATATTCAACAAAATGATTTTGTAAAATTACTTTAAAAAATCGAATTGCCTAAGATGGGAATCGAACCCACGACCTTTCGCTTGCCAGGCAACTGCTCTTAACAATCTGAGCTACTAGACATTGGGTGAACCCGTCAATTAAAGGATTAATAAAATTATAATAAAAACTATTTGACCAACCTCTATACTGCTCATGGTAACTGGCCGCACAGACACTCACAGAAAAGAAAATAAATAAAGATGTAAAATTCCAATTCATTTTGAAAAGAGAACTGCTCAGTCTCGCCTCTTTGGTACAAATGAATGCTTTCAAAATGGCGGAATACCCTTTTCCCTCCATTATTGAAAAGTTTATAGTTGAACGGTGTGATATTTTGAAAACAATACAATTGCATAATAATGTTATTAATTCTTCAACATGTTGGTATTTCCTAGTTCGTCACCTAGGATTGCTCTTGTTTAGTACTTTTGCTTTGTTGTAGTATTTTTTATTGAATATTAGATATTTTATGTAGGTAGGTATTTCCCACATTTTTCTCATGTAATATTTTAAATTCCAATAACAATGTAGAGCCAATGTATATTTTTGCAAGTATACAGTTGATAGGACCAAAATTGAAGAGTCTTAGTAATAGATTCCTTAAAAGTTTCATCACCTTCACCATCATCATCAGGTCATTTAGTCTCCACTGCAGGAGCACGACCCTCTAATTTACCAGAGGCAAATGGAGGATTTGTCCTACACTCCCCACGCTGGCCAGACGGGTTGGGGAGGCCTGATGTTACGCCTCTTACGACTAGGGTTTCTGCTCGAGCTTTCTCGAACTCGAGAAAACTCGAGAAATTTGGCTTCATTCGAGACGAGAAAAAAATTACCGGAGCTCGAGAATTCTCGAGTTTCGATTTTGAAGCTTTAATATTCTTGAAAGCCTATTTTCTTAGACAAAGGTAAGTTTTTAATCATTTAATAGGTTAACGTTGAGTTTAGACTGGCCTAGTCTTTCCTTTTTTTAACTAATTTGATTTGCAAGTAATGATCTTAACCGAAACTAATAATGATCATCTACGAGTATGCTATATTTTATTATGTTTGTATAACTGACTGATTTAAAGACTGAAGATTTTTTGTTAACTATCTGTTAGTTTAGGTACTCGTAAATACGTTTATTCAAGTCGTTATCTTTAAGTTTAAAAGTTTATTTAAATGTTTTTTTTGNTTTTACAACTTTTTCTAAAATTAAAGAAACAAAAAAATATCAACAGAAATGGCGTAAAATGTATCACTTTACACTTGTTAGCGGGTGGTCAATTCAGTGTGGTGTAAAATGATTTATGTCCCATTATATCACTTTACACGAATGTAAAGTTGCCGTGCATGGCGATATAACTGGGTTTTTATTTAATTACGAAAAAACTACATGCTATATTTCCCAAACTGGCACACTGCCTAATTATATCTAACATTACCTTTCACCTAAAAAATATTTCACCAAGTTATCTCTAATAGCGACGAAGCAGGATTTTTTTTAACTTCAAATGCGATTTCCCAAAAATCACCATTTTCGACTTAACTCCGTTTTCACTGGGGGTACAGATTTCTATTCTGTGTAAGTGACGTTTGAGCAGGCCTTTATACTTAGGTGGTGGGATTCCCTCTTCGACACCCAAAATTCAGATTTTTAGTTTAACTAGACTTTTTCAATTTCGATTTGACGATGGATGCCATATTTTTTAAGCTAGTATTATTTTTAAGATTTTAATATCGCCAGTAGTCCGTCCCGATTCGGTGCTATTTTATTACAGCTTATGTATTTTTCTATTGATTTTGAACAGGTGCCACAGAGATGCGAAAATTGTAGACAATTTTTGTTGCAGATCTATTTTTATTTAGACCATGAAATTGTACCTCTTTCGTAGATTAGTCTCATTTATGGCTAGTAAAATTGGTTTGTGCGATTAGTCGCAACTTTGTGGCGACCTGTCTCAAAAAATCGCTTGTTTCTCTCACTATCTTATGTGTTTCGTAACAACGAATATTTCTGATGTCCGTTTCATACTACTCCATTGGTCTAACATATGTAACTATTTTAATTTACAATGGGGTTCTGGAACGACATCGGCAGTGTAATATGACAGTGTACGAATTTTTAACAAATATACTGACTTGATAAATTTGTTGTTTCATTTTATATTAACAACTTTCTTCTACTCAACATCAATTAGCCTCTACTTTATGATCATCATTTTCATCTATAGAGGAAGACGACGATTTAAAAAAATCTACTTCCCATTTTTTGGATCCCGCACCTTGATAGGAAAATACAAATATTTTTACAGTTTAAAAATCAAAGAATAGGTAATAATAATAAGTTAAAACTTAAAAACCAAAATTATAAAATAAAGTTTTATTAATTATTCATTTTAATTTATCACAACAATGTTAACTTCTCGCACGCACTATTTACATTTTAGGTATAATACACAGTTAATTAGTTTTAATCAAGAACAAATTATATTGAAAGATTCTAAATTGATACAGGGGCTCCCCAGGTGGAAGTGAAACTGGGGGTAGTTGAACCAGGGGGAGGGGGGGCAGTAATAGGGGGGAGTCAGATTCAAAGGAAAGGGAGAAAGTGGGAGGGCAGATTGACCCATGGAGAAGTGAAACTGGGGAGCAGTTGATACAGGGGGGAGTCTGATCCAGATGGGGAGTCCAATCTAGATGCAATCTGATTCAAACAGAGGGAAAATCTGACTATAACACCCTCATCTGTCGTAATCGTCTACAATCTCATTCAACCTCTGTGATCCGCCATTCTCTCGAAGTGTTCAACGTTTTTCAGCACGCCACCGTCTACACGGGCGAAGTGCTCCTGTTCTATCAGGATCATGGACAGCCTATTGTTCATGCGTATAGTTTTAAATTAGGACAATTCCTAATAATGAAAAGTTCTACACTTTTACACCTTACAGTCTTATCTAGATGAGGGACACTCTGATCCAGGGGGATTCTGATCCAGACAGGCAGTTTTACCTATAGTCGCGCGTATTTATATTGCTGTCGCGACTGTGCGACGGGCGCCCGCAGTGAGTGTGCGAGCGCAACAGCAATATAATTACGCGCGAGCGATAAGGATGGGTAGCTTGGGGTCATTGGACAAAATTCTACGTGATCGGAGACCGGGTTTTAGGTGGCAGTCTGACCTAAGTGGGTGAGGAGAATTCTGATTTTGGTGTAGGGCAGTATAATCTAGGAGGAGGGAGTTTGATCCAAGGGTAGGAGGTAGATTGATCAAGGGTGAGAGATAGTTTGATCCAGGGACGGGCACTCTGATTCAGGGGGAGGGGGCACTCTGACTATAACACCCCCCATCTGACGTAATCATCCACAATCTCATTCAATCTCTGCACAGCGAATTGGTTGGCCCTGGTCATTAGATCCGATATGCCCTCGAAGTCATCAATGTTTTTCAGCACGCCACCGTCTACATTGCCGAACTGCTCTTCATCTTTGAAAATCATGGGCAGCATCATTCCGGAGACCATCAGGGCGAAGGGCAGCATCTGTGGAAATAATAAACTTCATAACCCACTGTAATCAAGGAGTAGATCCTGGCTGCACATAAATTGCAACAGTAATAACGAAAGGTGGGTATAATAGCCCACTGTAGTGACAGACATGTGATGGTTCATATTGTCCAAAATTAATCATTCCAATATGAATTTATTTAAGCCGCTATATTCGCCTGTAAGCACTGTGGCTTTTTATAGCTATTAGCTATACGACTCTGTAACATAAGTGTGGCTGACTGTACAGGTTCAAATAATAAGATAATGATGGTTGAGGATGATGTGGCAAAAATTAAAGCGACGACAGCACAAAAACAGTGTGATGGTCAACATGGCGTCTATTTTTTCGTTCGTTTCGACGAAAATAATTTCGGGCAAAGAGCTCTTAAGAAATTTCTACAACAATCGGTCCTGCGCTGCCAACTTCCAAGCTCCTTCACCAGATCGTCAGTTGACCATATTAAGCCTGACAAACGTCTTCCAGTCCGTCTACATCTTTGGTAACTCAGTTTGGATAATACCTTTAATTGCCGCCACCTGCACAGCAGTTGGAGGTATTTCTACCACTCACCTCTTTCAACTCCTCATCAAAGATATCCCTCGGAAAAGCCTCCTCAGGGTCCAAGTCCAGCCTCCGTAACGCAGCAGCCATATGCTCGTAGTAGTGGTCAACAAACCGGTCGAAGTACTTGGCTCGGAACGCCCCGTCTGACCCCGTAAAGATGAAATACAGCAAATCGTTGGCAGCAGATCCTGGATGCAAGGACTGGTAGTCTACGATCACTATCTGGAGTTTGCCGTCCTGGAAAGTTAAAAAACAAGTAGGTTAAGAGGCATTCCATAAATTACTTACTTCACAATTTAAAGGGGAGAAGAGGGTCCAGTGACAAGGAGTGAGAGGGGTCCTAAATCGTTACACAAACACTATTTCAAAATAATTCAATTTTTGTCATTTTTGCGAGTTAGGGATAGAAAGGTCAGGTTTTCGTGTATGGTTTTCAGAAATTTGAGTTTTCAAAGGTTAGGTTATGAAAGTTAGGTTTACAGAAATTTTGATTTTCGTATGTTACAAATAGGTTTTGAGTGTTAGATTCCACAAAGTTAGGTTTTTAAAAAAGTTTTCAAAAAGCTAGGTTTAGGTTTTTGTCAGTTAGTTTAATAATTACCTTTCAAAACTTAGGTTTTCGAAAATTAGGATTTCGTAAGCTAGGTTTATACCAAGAACTATAGCAAAAAAAATCCTGAAAGTGTGGCAATGTATTAATAGCCTCCTAATTAACCCAATAATACTCAATTAACAGCATCATTAAATAAATTAACATTCATTAGATCTATGTATTTGACTTCCTTCTAGTTTGTGATAAGTTACCTAAGTAATGTATTCAAGAAAACTGTCATTTAACATTTTTATTTTTAACTCTTAACGCCAGTGTAATAAGGTTTTTAGGTTTCCCTTCTACAGAAATTTATTTAAAACATATTATATTTTAAGATAATTATGTGCATCAATTCATCGGAATTGAAATTCGCATCTAATTTATTTAATTTTGAATTGCTGTAGTTACTTAAATTAGGTTAATTTATTGTAATGTTTTAGTAGTTGAATGTGTTTGTATAATTGGTTTATTTTTCAGGTAATGTAACTATTTAATGTTGTTGAAACATTGTTAAATACATAGGACAAAATTAGAAGGAAATTATTACCTACAGGTAAATGTCATTTGAAAACACAAATAGTCCAAAGCTTTGAGAAAAAAAAAGTTACGTACTTTTCAAACTAGTTAGTGGTTCATCTAATTTCTGTCTCTCAAAAGTCATGGGTACTATTTCAATAGCAAAAAATTGCTAAATGTCTTTTCCATGTCTTTTCATAGTTATTCTCAATTAATTTCAGTACGGGACTTATTCCCACTTCTCGTTCCCACCGCTGCAACTCCTGTGTAGCCAGGATCTACAGTTTGACCGCCAATAAAAACCCAACCAGTGAAGGTCAAGTTCGTCCCGGGGAAAAGTTACTGTCATTGGACGCGCAACGAAATTAATCAGAAGAACATAGGAGGAGTTCGAAGTTAAGGTTCGGTTAATTTATTTCAGTAGTCAAGCCAAATGCGCGTTTAAACTTACCTCATCGAACTTATGCATCAGATTGTTCTGCTTGAAGTCACTGTGCACGATAACCGGCTTCTTCAGCGGTTCATAAAACTTTTGGGTCTCCTCCATACTGAACGAGTCGAAGAATCTCTCCACTTTCTCTCTATTCTCCTCTCGTATCATCTTGATTGTCTTGCTCACCATTTGTTTCATTGTTACTGCTATGATCGAGTCTTCCTCCATTTTTTCTCTTTTTAACACTTTGGAATATTCTTCGTAATCATCCGGATATTCAATTTGAAATGCAATTGATAAAGCATGGAGCTTCGCTAGTTCCTCAACAGCTTTCGACGCGTAGTCCCAGTCAATTGGCCTAAACCTGTCGTATGTATCAAAACCGTCTATATACAAATCCTGCAGCACTATCACCTCTTTCAAATATGCGTCGTTGCCTCCGTAATACTTGGGAATGACCAGTCTATATTCTTCTGGAACATTATGCCGTTCTTCTATTTCTCTGTACGACTTTGCCAGCTTCGTGTAGAATGTCCTTTCGATGTCGAAGATTCTAGTTTTGACTTGTTCTCGGAATAATTCGGAGATGATAGCCACTTTCGCGAATATTTTGATGGGTTCTTTGCCTTTTGATTTGATAGTCCCATTGAAGAGACGAGAAGTGAAGTTGGAGCCGGTTGTGGGTTTAATTGAAGTTTCTATGTCAGCATCTTCATATTTTTGGTCGACAGCAATCGTTTGTAATATGTTTCTTAGGAAAATTTCACGCGCGTCCGTCATTTTAGTAGTTCAACGGTGTACTGAATTAAAAAACGCTTAGGCTGCGTTGCACCACCTAACTTCGACCGTACCCAGCCTAGTTGTGTGTGCTTACAAATGATACGTTCTTAATCTTTTTTTGGCAAATGAATTATGACTAGGTAGGTAGGCGATGCCTCTTTAGGCTAATGGTTGTACTTATTAAAGTTTGAAAAATAATTTTCAATGAAAAACCCACCAAAGTGACATGTATAAAAATCATAATACAGGGAGGCCCAGAAAGAAATTCACTTTTGAAAATTCAAGGAAAAAAATTCAGAGTAATTTTGTAGACCTTTATTTATTACAATTCAAAGATAATTTAATGAAATTTATTTATTTTTAAATTTACCTTTATAACATTACATCGTCCAGGAGATTTCCTTGACGTTTACAACATTCGATCAACATACATCAAAATCTTGAAATGCGTTCGTTAGAATTACCTCGAAACCTATTTTCCATTTTTTGCCGAATGTTCAGCTTCAGTTGCTGCATGGTTGTTGGATTATAAAAGTATAGGTACTCTATTTTTATGGTAACACCACAAAAAGGAGTTTTCTAGAGTGAGATCAGGGCTTCCTGGTGGCCAAGAGATGTCACCCCTGCCTGAAATTATTTTTTGTGGGAACATGTCTCTTGCCATCTAAATGCTCTCATTTGAAGTGTGACACGTAGCCCTATCTTGATGAAACCAAATGCTCCTGTCATAGCCTTGCGAATCTTACAACTTTGAAATAATAAAGCTTTTTAGCATACCAGTATAGCGCTCTCAAAAATTAATCATCCTTTCGATGCTACAAACCAATTAAGCAGGGCCGAAATCTCATTGCCACCAAGAACCCTTAATCTCATTCCAGCAGACTTCTTTTTGTGGGGTTACCTTAATAAGCAGAGTACTACAAAAACTCTGCAGCATTCATCCATCCTGAATCCATTCCGAGGTAACTCTAACGAAAGTTTTCCAAAATTTTGATTTATGCTGACCGAATGTTGTAAACGTCAAGGGAATCACGTCATGTACGATCTATAAAATAGAAAGTAAATTTAAAAATAAATTGCATGAAATTTCCTTATTGCTATAGTTAAAATTCTACAAAAATGTACAGTTTTCTTTTCCTTGAAGTTTCAAAAGTGAATTTTCTTTTTGGCCACCCTGTATTAACAATGCGGACATAGGTAGATAGGTGCAGGTATTTTCCTAGTGTGTAGTTCATCATGACATCGCATTTGATTAAATTCATGCGCGTCTAAAGACACTAATACTATTTTTATCATTTTCAAATACCCTATTGTCGCTACTCATTGTTTTATTAATTATATCTAATCATTTTACAGATGCAGGATAACGTCTTACGAGTCTGTGTATTTGTTTAAGGTCGATAACAAACACTATTATAATCTCTTAATATCTATATTACTTAGCACTATTATAAAAAAATATTAGGACTACTTAAGTAATTTGTTTTCTGAACAATTATCTGATTGTTTGATAAATAATTTCCACTTGCAGTTTCGTCTTTGTCATTTGGGTCGCACGTAAACTATGACGATAACCGGTGTTTTTTGTATGAAGTTTGACAGATTTTTGACGTTTGTCAAAGTCAAAGTAAGATGGTGCAATCCATCCTTAGGTACTAGAGTAGGATGAGTTGCACCACCTAACTTGGACCGTAACTAACGATAACTGGTGTTTTTTGTGTGGAATTAGACAGATTTGTGACGTTTGTCAAAGTTAAAGTAAGATGGTGCAACCCAGCCTTAGAGTATACTTGACTATTATCTGTGGTAATATTACGAGCAAAAGTATGGAATCACCCGTTGTTTGTTTGTTTGTGATCTTAGGATTCGGCTTACACTCCCGACACTGGCCATACGGGTTGGGGAGGCCTGATGTTCGCATAGATATTTGTAACATCCAAACTGGCCCATTTATTGTCCCGAAACAGTGGTAGCCTTTTTGCAAAATAAATGAGTTTTTTATGAGTTTCAAAGGGAGAGAGGTTGTGGTTCTATTCTACTCGGCTGCTGGAACTTGATTGACAAGAACTGGACTTGACAACAGCTGCTTATCGCAATATTATCAATGCTCACGTACTCGTATGTCATTTATACAGGGTGGAAACGTTAAGTGATCTCACTCGATTATTTCTAAACTATACAAGATATCGAAAAACTGATTACTGATTCTGAAAGTGCTTTACAAGCTCTTTCAAACGGTACCAATAATAGGTTACAGAATAAACTGGATCTATCCGAAAATTCAATGTTTCCAGCTTCCATACATTTAGCAAAACCACATAATTTTAAAAACTATACAAGATATTCAAAAACTGGTTACAGACCCTGAAAGTGCTTCACGAGTTCTATCCAACGATACCAATAATAGGTTATAAAATAAACTGGATCCATTCGAAAATTCAATGTTTCCAACTTCCATACATTTAGTACAGCCACAGTCATGGCACTCATGTCTTGTTAATATTAATAGCAAGTAAAGCCTAAAACCAATGTTTTCCAAGAATAATTTTAAATAAGAATGCATTTTACGAGTTACTTTAAGTGTTTATTATTTAATTAAAAAAAAATTATACTTCTGTTATTGTTTGGCTGGCATACATTTAGTATGGAGGCTGAAAACATTAAATTTTTGGATAGATCCAGTTAATTCTGTAATCTAATATTGGTACCGTTTGATAGAGCTTGTGAAGTACTTTCAGGGTTAGTAATATTTTTTTTGATATCTTGTATAGTTTAGAAATAATCGAATGAGATCACTTATCGTTTCCACCCTGTATAATATTAGTATAATCAAATTCAAGAAATAATAACAAAACAATGAATCGTCACAATCGATTATAATTTATTTACAAATAAGTGAAAATAGAACTTATACTTACTCGTATTTGGAATGATTCCTCGGTAATGAAATAAGTATTTTAAGCGATTTTAATGAAAATTACGTTTAATATCATATACGAAGACCAACGAAGACATACAAAATGAATAAATACAATCGTATAAACATTAGGTTTAATAAAATATTTTATTCTTTTTTACAATAAATACCTAAAAATTAGTTTATATCACATCCACTGTTTTGCACAGCTCCAAACTTAAAAATTCAGTTCCAAGTTACATGCCAATGGCAATAGAAAATTTATTTGGACATTTGGTATTTTTCGCTTAGATTTTTGTATATTTCAAACAAGCTTTGTAAACAACGAGTCAACACTATAAAACTTGCTTGAAATAAAAATACAATCCAAGCGAATAAAATACAATTTTATACAATCATCATCATTTCAGGCACCTGACGTTCCCTGCTAAACACAGGCCTCCCCCAATGATTTCCAGACTGAACAGTTGGTAGCGGCTTGCATCCAGCACCTTCCTACCTTTCTGAGGAAGCCGAACAAACTCTTTAGTCGGGCGATGGTACTATAATACAACCGATGGTGATACGACTAGATACTTTAATATAACCTTTTCGGAATCCGGCGTGTTCGGGAGACTGGAAGTCATCGAACCTACGAGCGAGACGGTTCGTGATGACTCTTGAAAACAGCTTGTAGACATCACTCAGAAGCGAGATGGGTCTGTAATTCTTCAGCAAGGTCTTATCACCTTCCTTGAAGAAGAGCGACGCTTCTGTTCTTTACCTCTACACGTCTGTTCTGTAGCCTGCAGGGTGTCTGGATTTAATGAAGTTCAAAACATTGAAATGATTGGTTCAAAAGCTATTTCTATATTATCCCCCACTTGACATAGTCGTCCACAACTTCATTCAGCCTTCGTGTGCTCAAGTCGTTGCTCTTGCCCATCATCTCGGCCATAGTCTCGAAGCTCTCGTTCTCAAACGCGCCGCCATCTTTGCTCACGTCTGCCGTGTCTATGGTGATCATCGGCAGCAACATGCCCGCGATGAACAGGCCAAAAGGCATCATCTGTGGGAATGAAAAAGAGAAAATGTCTAAAGAGATAATTAAATTAATTACAGCAGACAGGGCACATAGTAGAACTGACGGCCGATGGGACAGCAAGGTTCAGGAGTAGAGGCCAAATACCAGTATAGGACGACCACCTGCAAGATGAACCGACGACCTCATAATGGTTATTAGTTTCGTGATCTAAGTATTTAAGAATGGTCTCTCAATAACAATATGATCTTTCAATTCTAAGTATTGTTCTAAGTTTCTTTACCAGGAAATAAAATACAAGAGAACATTGCATGCAGGCATAAAATTATTCGTTTAATAAGAAACGTAATTTTGTGTTTTGAAAAGCACTTTCAGCCAGTCATACTTAGTCATTTATTCTATAAACAAATGACATTATCGTATTTTCCGCAACAATTAAAGTTTGTAAATAAATGAAGGGATAAATAATAATATTATTGATTACAGTACCTACTACCTATATCCATAAAAGACCTTAAAATAATAAAATACTGTCTTATCAGTCAATAAACAGTAGAGAAGATAACTAAATGTGGTTGCCGAATCATGACAAGATTAACAATTAATCAACTTATCAAAAACCAACAAACAACGTTTCAATAAACATAACACTTTAATGTTAAGTAGTTCGTAATTCATTTAAGGATGTAGCACATTTATCAACCCGGAAATTGATCATATCGTAACCGTATCAACTCGAGGCGAAAACGAAACTCCATACAACAACCGTAAAGCGCAATACACATTGAGCCCGCCGGGCCGCCGACATTATTATGTCGGCAACTTTTTGTCGGCGGTCTAGTTGGCGGCTTCACTTATTACAAGTTGGAAAATTTGGTCGGCGGCATGTCGGCGGCTTGAGATGAGAAATTTATTTGGCAGTCAGCATACATACCTGTCATCCGCTTTGCAATGGAGGGAAGTCGAACCTTAATTTCGAACTCCTCCTATGTTCTTCTGATTAATTGTGTTGCGGGTCCAATGACAGTTTAACTTTCCCCCGGGACAAACTTGACCTTCATTGGTTGGGTTTTTGTGGCGGTCAAGATGTAGATCCTGGCTACACAGGAGTTGCAGTGGTGGGAACGAGAGGTGGGAATAGTCCCGTAGTCAGCATACAAGCACGTCACTACAGGTCGAGCGTCGCCGGACAACTGAGCGCCGGCGTACCCAAGCCGCCAACATGTCGGCGGGTAACACGCGCGGTTGCCGACATGAATCTTTCATACAGGCCGCCGGGTTGTGTCGCCGGGCTTTGTCGGCGGCCCGGCGGGCTTAGTGTGTATTGCGCTTTACGTACCTAAACGCCTCGCCTCGCTGTTGACAGCATGACAGCTCGCGAAAGGCGATATGGTGTTGATCCCTTTCCGAGTTGATATTATCTATGACCTTTATTAATTGCTTCATGTTGCTGAAGCTATCCCACGGTTGGGGACTGGGTTGAGGTCGGTGCCCTACGAATACGTTCGCTACAGCCAAAATTTAATGGCGTCCACTGCTGGACAAAGGCCTCCCCCAAGCACTGCCCAATCACCAGATCGTCGGCCTACCAAGTGAGAGGCCTGCACACACCACGTCTGCCGGTCAGTGGTTGCTACTGGAGAACTTTTCTGGCACAACTGCGTGCGTAAACTATTTTAGTAGCTTACTATAGCTATATCACTACCACGTCTGGTGAATGTTTTCTTTCACCCACCTCTTTCAACTCCTGATCAAAGACGTCCCTCGGGAAAGCCTCCTCAGGGTCCAAGTGCAGCCTCCGTAACGCAGCGGCCATATGCTCGTAGTAGTGGTCAATAAGCCGGTCGAAGTACTTGGCTCGGAAAGCCCCGTCTGACCCCGTAAAGATGAAGTACAGCAAGTCGTTGGTTGCAGGTCCTGGATGTAAGGTCTGGTAGTCAACAATCACTACTTGGACTTTGCCGTCCTGGAATTATAAAACAAACACGTTTATAACTTCAATTTTAAAAAATTTTAAAATTTCAAAATCTGGGCACGAATTCTAGTTATTTTTTTGGTTTAACAAAAGGTAACTTTCAGAAAAAGTTAGTAGGTAAGGTTTCTAACAATTATATATTTGAAAGTAGGTTTTCAGAAAGTTAGCTTTTGAGAGTTGTGACTAACTTGTGGTATTTGAAAAAATAAGTGATTATGATGTGATTTTTGAATGATTTGATTCAAAGTTATTTTTGATACACGTACACCCTGTATTATTATTTTTCATTCCACACAATTTGTCCATTATTATCTGCCTTTGAACCAACAGACCGAGGTTTTATTTGAAACTTACCTTGTCTATTTTATGCATCAGGTTGCTCTGTCTGAAGTCACTGTGTATGATGACTGGCCTCTCTGACGGTTCATAGAACTTCTTGAACTGCTCGAAACTAAACGTCTCGAAGAAGAGCTTCTCCACTTTTGCCCTATTCTCCTCGCGTACCATTTGTATCATATTGCTCAGCATTTGTTTCATCATAGCTGTAACAGGTGTATCCTCATCCATCATTTGTCTTCTCAAAATTTTCTTAGCTTCTTCGTAATCTTCTGGATATGCCTTCCAATATGCTATGGACAATGCATGGAGTTTCGCCAACTCCTCAACTGCTGCCGAAGCGTATTCCCAGTCAATGGACTTAAACCTGTCATATGTTATGAAGCCATGTTTTGACAAGTCCTGCAGCACCACCACCTCTTTCAAATACGTGTCGCTGCCTCCGTAATACTTGGGAATGACGAGTCTGTGTTCTTCTGAGATGTTGTGCTCGTCTTCTATTTCTTTGTACGTCTTCGTTAGCTTCGTGTAAAAGTGTCTTTCGATGTCGAACAAGGTCGCTTTTAGTTCTTCTCGGAGTTTTTCCGCGACGACGGCGACTTTTGCGAATACGTTAAGATCTTGTTTTCCTGCCGATTTGATAGAAGCGTAGAAGAGTTGGGAGGTGAAATTGGAGCCGGTGGTTGGTATAGCTGACGTTTGTATGTCAGGGTCTTCATATTTTTGTTTTACGGCTATTTCTTCCAAGATATTTCTTAGTAACAGTTCGCGCGCGTCCGTCATATTGCTAGCTCTACGCAGTACTGACTTAGAAGATGTCGTGTTTCGTTATGTTTACAATTGATAGGAATAATCTGAGTCAGCTCGCATACGTCCAACAACATTGATTACGTTTTATTATGCCAGTTTCCTACTCCGCGCGCGCAAGGACGTTTGCTGATGGTTGTTAAATCCGGTTTTTTGTTTGTATTAGTTCTAGGACTGCTTGGTGATAAAAATTGTAGTCAACATCACATTGTTTTTTCCTAATTATGCAGCATTTGTTATAACATAAGGTGCAAACTAAAGTAATCGTTTGAAATTGAATACTAAAGTCACGGTTATTAAATTAATTTCAATTCAAATTAATTAAAGTATTAAAATTGATTGCTCACTAAGTAAGTTGATACTGCATAGATAATAAGTATTATCAATATTTTGTTTATGTTGTGAGTATCTACAGACGATGGTACATAAAGTTCATTGTTTAGCTTCATGTAACACAGAATAATAATTACGTGCTAATAAAAACGATTTTGTTAACAAAATGAATCATAATAAAATATCGTCAGCATATGAGTCAATTTGCGCTTTTCATAAAAACTGTAGTTTAACTCCTGGTTTTCATGCATCGTATCAATTGTAATCGTAGAATACATTAATTATATTATTTATGGTATTATTCGAGGTATTGCCTCATCTTTTTGAAGCCAATACCGTTATTACTAAAACAAGTAGTACTTAGTAGAAGTACCTAATAAAAAACAGAAACCGGTTTATAACAATCATCAGCACAACGTCCTTGTAATCGTAGCCAGCTGACTTACGCAACTGATATAAAACTTAATCGCGAGGCAGATTTAGATCTCGTATCAATTTTATAAACACAAAAAAACACTTGTCATATTTCAGTACTGCGTAAAGCTAACAATATGACAGACGTGCGCGAACTTGCATTACGAAATATCTTGAAAGAAATAGCCGTCGAGCAAAAATATGAAGACCCTGGCATACAAACGTCAGCTATACCAACCACCGGCTCCAATTTCACGTCCCAACTCTTCTATGCTACTATCAAATCGGCAGAGAAACAGGATATAAACGTTTTCGCAAAAGTCGCCGTCGTCGCGGAAAAACTCCGAGAAGAAGTGAAAACATTCACTATTTTCGACATCGAAAGACACTTTTACACGAAGCTAATGAAGACGTACAAAGAAATAGAAGACAAGCACAACATCCCCGAAGAACACAGACTTGTTATTCCCAAGTATTACGGAGGCAGCAACGATTATTTGAAAGAGGTGGTGGTGCTGCAGGATTTGTCTAAAGATGGCTTCATAACATACGACAGGTTGAAGTCTATCGACTGGGAATACGCGTCAACAGCAGTTGAGGAGTTGGCGAAACTCCACGCGTTGTCCATAGCATATCAGAAGGAATATCCGGAAGATTACGAAGCAGCAAAAGGAGTTTTGAAAAGACCAATGATGGGAGATGATCATCCTATAACAATTATGTTGAAACAAACGCTGAGCAAGACGGCGCAGATGGTTCGTAAGGAGAACAGGGCGAAGCTGGAGAAATTCTTCTCCGAGACGTTTTGTTTCGAGCAGTTCAAGAAGTTTTACGAGCCGATCAAAAGGCCGGTCATCATACACAGTGACTTCAGACAGAGCAACCTCATGCATAAAATAGATGAGGTAAGTTTCAAATGCCTAAGTAACTCCTATTTACTTACTTAGTAGAATAAAAAAGCAAAGAGTAAAGACTAACTGTTCGCAATTTTCAAATGGCGTGCACCGTTTCGTTGGTTCGTTCATTTCAGCCAAATGATATCCACTGCTGGACAAAGGCCTCCCTCAAGGATTTCCGTATCGGCCGGTCCTGCGCCGCTCGCATCCAGATTCTTAATTTCGTTGCGGGTCCAATGACTGTTTAACTTTCCCCCGGGACAAACTTGACCTTCATTGGTTGAGTTTTTATGGCGGTCAAGCTGTGGATCCTGGCTACACAGGAGTTGCAGCGGTGGAAATAGTCCCGTATCCAAATTCTTCCCGCGATCTTCACCAGATCGACGGTCCACCTAGTGGGGGGCCTGAATATACGTCTTCCGTGTACCGTTTACCTTTATACAGTTATAGACTAAGAGCTAGTGAACGCTAGACCTGAATCCCTGTAGCCAGAGTGGAGAGTTTAGCTAAATTCTCCATTTGCGTCTGGCACATTGAATTGATCATGCTCCTGCAGTGAAAACTAAATGACCTGATGACGATGAATGTATTATGGGGTTAGGGTTAAATCAATTATAAGCTACCGTCGTCTGCGTCGTTTAGATTACAAGCATCCAAAATAATCGAGGACAATGACAATCATCTGAAATTAGATGATTGTCATTGTTCTCGATTATTTTCAACGCTACAATAGCAACCGGACACAACCAATTTCATCACAGTCCTTAATATAGTCGTAGCAATCATGTACCTACCTATTCTATTGAGACAGGCGCCCGTATTCACAAACATTAGATACCTACTATGAGATCTCACGGTGCGCGTGGACGCTCAGGGTGACACACGAACCAATCACAGAGCTGTATTCAACGCTGTGCGTTCGATTTGCTGCTTCACTTAAGCAAGCACAGTTTGTGAATACTGGCGAGGGACTGTTTCCTGTGTGCACCAAAAAGCGTACACTAGGTAGATAAATGATAATGTTTGAAAGCTAACATTCAAATAAGTAGCTTACTTTGGAAAACCTAACTTCAAATACTAATCTTACATAGGTACTTTCGAAACCTAACTTTTGAAAGCTAACTTTCTGAAAACCTAACATTTCTAAAATCCAAAAAAAATACTTAACTTGTTCGATGTTTGTGAATACGGACAAACATTACTATGAGGTCTCGCAGTGCGCCTGAACGCACAGGGTGACATACGAACCAATCACAAAGTTCTACTCAATGCTATGGGTTCCATTTGCTGCTTCACAAAGCAAGAATCGTTTGTAAATACGGCCTTAAGAAATGTGACGGCACAAAAAGAAGCCTTGCCATACCTAATATTGTTTCTTTTACCATTCCAGGACGGCAAAGTCCAAGTAGTGATTGTGGACTACCAGTCCTTACATCCAGGACCGGCTGCCAACGACTTGTTGTACTTCATCTTCACGGGGTCAGACGGGGCGTTCCGAGCCAAGTACTTCGACCGGCTTATTGACCACTACTACGAGCATATGGCTGCTGCGTTACGGAGGCTGGACTTGGACCCAGAGGAGGCTTTCCCGAGGGATATCTTTGATCAGGAGTTGAAACAGGTGAGTGAGTCTGGTTGTTCTAGACGTCTTCTTCTTCGTCGCTACACTCTTGGCTGTGGTCGTGGTCGTCACGCCTGGTTTAGCGGCAAGCTTCACAATCCGTCACCATTCCTCCCGCATTGCAGCCTTTGTTGTACACTCGTGGATCATTGACCGCGGTTTTGTCGTGATCAGTCCAACGCATGGGCGACCTCTTGTGCCTTCATCCTTTTTCTGCACGACTATTCGTTCAAACGATGTGTGTGTTTGTCGTGACTACTAGACGTGGTTATGGTAAATGGTTATTTCGAAATAATCTGATGTCCGTTGGGGCAGAAAAGTTCTCGAGTGGCGACGACGGGACCGGAGAACGTAGTGTATGTAGGAGAGCCTTCCACTCTAGTGAAGGTCGAGGAAAGCACCTTTACCAGTAGGCTGAAGCCTGGTGGCTTGTTTTGGATAGATTCGGTTTAAAATATGCTGTCCTATTGTTGAAGTTAAACAGCTGTGTTACTAATCAGCAATCACATGCATCTATCTAACATAATTATCAACTGATAAGTATTTTTATAAGTCACAGTCTTTTAAGAATGGAATACTTACACGTGTTATATTTCTTAGTACGTTATCATTGATTGCTATTATTATACGAGCATTTCGCATCATATTTTTTACCATCATATTATACCTTATGGTCATCTGTCATCCGCTTTGCTGGAGGGAAGTACCTACATCTATAATTTCGAACACGTTTTGCTGATTAATTTCTTTGCGGGTCCAATGACAGTTTTTATAGACGGTCAAGTTTCTGGTTACTCAAGAGTATTCTGCTTATTTATATATCTATTATTTCCACAGATGTTGCCCTTCGGTCTTCTCATCGCGGGCTTTTTGCTGCCCATGATCACCGCAGACACGGCAGACGTGAGCAAAGACGGCGAAGCGTTTGAAAACGAGAGCTTCGAGACTATGGCCGAGCTGATGGGCAAGAGCAATGATTTGAGCACAAGAAGGCTGAATGAAGTTGTGGACGACTATGTGAAGTGGGGGATATTATAGAAATAACTTGGAACTTTATTTTAAAATTGGCTGCGTAAGCGCCGTCGCCGGCGCGATCATAGGCCAATGACAGGTCGCGCGACCCATGACAGTCCGCGCGACCTGTCATTTCCCTATGATCGCGCCGTGATCGTGGCGATGCACCCGTTGGTGTGGTTGAAACAAAAGAAAGATTTCAACGCATTGAGTGCCACACGAGTCAGTGGAAAAAAATCTAAATAAAATAAAATAAGTAAATCAATTTGATAAAAATAGGTAAAAAAAAGTAATCATTATAATAAATTAAAATAAGTAATTCAATTTAATAAAAATAGGTACCTACTACTTTATTTATACCTTTGTGTTTCATGTATTTAATTTTCTTCGCTAGATTTTTCAACTAATTTATGTATAAAACCTTATTAAATGTAAAAGAAACATGTTAAAAAAAAGATAATTAATTAATTTTTTATCATTTTTGATACCTTTTGTTTTTTAGGATTGAAGTATATGTTTTTGATAGCCATTGGTCATAATATTGCAGAAATACACCTTTATTTTGAACCGAAGATATTTTTTATTTCCGCACGCCTGATAATATTAATGCACCCGTCCGCAACAGTGACTCTAAAACGAATGACAAAATTCTTGTTTTAATCATAAAGATCTCGATATTTAACCCTAAAATACACTGAAAATAAAACGAAAAGCTTCATAATAAGTGTATATTTATTAACCAATCTAATTTT